GTAAGATGCATTCTATCATCATTTATAATGGGACCTGATATTCAAAAAACAGTTAAAATCTCATATCTTTAAGTTTATCTTCAGCACTGATCCCATCCTGTTATAACTAATCCAAGATCCCATTTGTTGAAAGGAGAATGGTTAATTTCTAGCATTACAACTTGATAGTTCTTAGTGCACAACAGGGCTTCAATTGTTTACCAATTATTATATGGTACCTTGGAAAAATATGTTGCAAAGTTGTGTACAGAAAGAGTATATTTGTCACTCATCCACTATCTGTACAATCCCAGTTTCCAACCTTTCTAAGTCAACCAAGACTGTTCTACAAATTTTAGGACAAAAATGCCACTTAGCACACTCAGAATTAATCCATCTTAGCTTCAGACATTACTATATACCTCAGAAATCTTTTGTCAGCCATGGGCTGTATAGCAAATACCACTGTCTACCATTACGAAAAAAAATTACACGTCACTTCTGTTAGACTCAAGAGAGACAAGACAAGAAGTTTAAGAAAAGATTGGCTGGAAAAAAAAACAAAAAAAACAAAAAAAATATGAAGTACATAAAGTGCCCCTTTAATGGTAGTTTTGGAAGTACAGTCAATCTCAAGTTGTGCAGTTCACAAGCATGGAAAAAAACAAAGATAACAGACACGAGTTCCAAGTAATTAAGGAGTGAAGGAAAATTGAGCTTAACCGAGCACTAGACTAGACTTTCCCCCTGGTGGATTTCTCCTGGTTGGTGCTGGGTTAGGATTCCTCCCAGCGGCTGGAACTTCTGGGCTAGGAAGAGGTGCAGTTGGTAGGGGCTTTTCTTCACTTGAGCCTGAAGCAGTTTCTTCTGTGTTTTCTGGGGGGGAAAAACCAAGACAATGACTCTATAAAAATAGAAACATTCACACTCTGAGTAGGTTTCACTTTCGGCAAGAAATAAGGAAGCCCTCAGAACTCCTAAAGTAAGTAGGAATCAGAGGTCTACTGTATTGAACCTACATATGCTATATGCATGCCTGTCTTTTTCCGAACTCAAGGTATCAGTACTACTCTCTTAAAATAATAATTCTTATACAAATAGGAACATTAATTGAAATCCCTCTCTTTCAGATGTACACTAGCTTAACTGCAATAGGAGTTGTGGTGGTTCAGTGGTTAGAATTGAACTGCAATAGGAACCATGGTGGCACAGTGTTTGGAATGCAGTATTGCAGGCTAACTCTGTCCGCTGCCAGGAATACCATCCTGACTGGCTCAAGGTTGGCTCAGTCTTTTACCCTTCCAAGGTCGGTAAAATGAGGAACCAGATCGTTGGGAGCAAAACCACTTAGACAACCTTGCTGCTGTTGCCATCCACTGCAAGACTAATTTGTGCAGACACTGTCTGAAAGAAAGCAATGTTGAACTTCTGGCTTCTTGTGATTCTCCATTTGTGAATAGGCTCACCTTGTCACAGCACTTTTTGTAAAAGAGCCACACTGGAACAGATTTTTTTAAAAAATTCACAGCTACCTAATATTAACCAAGCAAGCATGTGTGAGTATGTGGTATTAATACAAGAAACCTTGTTTCCAGCATTTACTTGATTCAAGGAGCTGTAAAAATACATCAATTAAACAGAACATTTTATGTAGCAGAGATTAATACTGTGTTATAAAACTGAATGCAACCAGCAGGTCTAACACTGGCAAAAATACCTTAAGGAATGAAGGAGAAAAATGTGGCAACAAATGACTACATCTAGTCTTTCAAGCTGATGCTAAAAAAATAACAGATTACAGCTGTATGTTTTTGTCATAACAAACTTTTGAAGCTGTACTTGACCTCAGGCAATTTTGGACAAATATTTACTTGTTAAGGTGGGGTGAATGGCTCACCTCTTATTAAAATCTCTATTAAATTGTGGCACCAATGCAATTCCAGTTGCAGTTGCTCATAAGTGAAGAGAGACTTAAATCATTTTTGCTTGTTCATACAAAATAGTGTGGAGCATATAGAAGAAAGTATACAATATCGTCAAGAAAGTAAAAGAATTGAAATGGAAATGGGCTGGTCACATAGCAAGAACTGATGGGAGGTGGACCAAGGCAGTCATAGAGTGGATCCCACTTGATAAAAAGCACCCATAAAACAGACTTAAAGCAAGATGGATTGACAACATTAGCAAGTATTGCAGGCCCAATTGGCAAAAGAAAGCTCAGGACCATATTAGTTGAAAACATGAGGAAGAGGCCTTCTTCCTGCAGTGGACAGATAGTAACTAAAATTATGATGATTAAATTATTAACGATTCTTAAAATTTTAAGTCATGGGAAAGCCTAAATCTTGTCTTATTTTTCTTCAAATAAACTGAGTATAAATGCTGTTTTGCTCCACAGCTAGTAAAATGGGACAATGTGCTTGGCTTGTTGAAGAGGTTTTTTCATTCTGCTAGCAAATGTGAAGGAGCACAGTGAAAAGAAATTGGACTAAATTTAAATATAAAGAATATCAAGCTAATGACGGCATAACTGTCAGTCTTAGAATTAACAATGAAGATACTGAGGTGGTTGATAGCTTCTGCCTTTTGGGATCAACCAACTACAGTAAAAAGACAAGAAGTGAAGAAATATGTATCAGATTAGCACCTGGTAGAGTAGCCATGAACACCTTGAAAAAGGTATTCAGATGCAGGACTTCCAAGTGAGGTAAGACATTTCTGGAAGAGAACTCCCAATAGATCTGATTCAGTGGAACCTCTTTCACTTTTCCAGATGCTTGCTCCTCCCAAGAAGACCAGAGGATAGCAGCATGTCTGAATACTTGCAGATGGGAGAAACAATCAAGCTCTCAATTGTGGCGGAGCATTGATAGACACTTACTTCACTTTCTACACACTTTTGGATAGAGCCAGTTTGGTCTAGTAGTCAAGGCCACTGTTCCCTCTAAGGTGCGCAGGTGCGCGGCCGCGCAGATGGCAAGAAAACACCGCACAACACTTTTCAACTCCCGCACAGTGATTTCTACTGCCACAGGCTCCGGAAGCTGGGAGGAGGTCCTTTGCAGGTGGCTCGAACTGGCAAATTGGCCCTGGACTTTTTTCGATGAGCACGGGGCGACTGACGGTAGTTGTGAAGCCCCAAAGCCCCCGCCACCACCGGACTAACTGCTGCTGCCTCCTCCTCTTCTAACAGCACCGCCGGATTTTCTGCCCGGCGCTGCGGCTGAGATGAAGCCGCCAAAGCTCCTGCCAGTGCCCCC